ATTTTAATTTATTTAATTGTCCAAAATTGTCCAAAGTATTCAAACTTACTGTCCACAACTGTCCTGTGACAACACTGCTATATTGTACAAAATTTATATGGGAGCTTTGCTAGAAAAATAGGGTTCTGAGATCTCTCCAACCAAAATAAGATTTTTGCTACATATTAATCTTTTGGATGAAAACTTGATTTGGTACAAATTTTATACCATATTATCTTAGTACAAAAAAAAGTTATTTGAATTCGGGTTTTTTGAATATAGAATTTAAAAATAGAATTGAGAAGTGATCTATGTTAGACAATAAACCAACTTCTAATAATAATCACGATCTGATTGGTTTGTGATTTAGAGTAAACGTTTTATATGAAAAGTATGATCGATCATTATGATTATCAGTTTTAGTTTAAATTTTGCACTTTCTTTTTTTTATCTTTTTTTCTCTTAGCTTTCGTTACTCTATAACCACAGTTATTACTTTGATGCTGTAGTTACATTGGTGCTTAGTTCAGGTGCTACTCTTTGACACACCTTTTTTTTTCTGGTAGTATTTTTCTCATCGTTACCATTTTGATCTTTTGTTATTTCTCTAGTTTTTTTTTTGTTGCTGATTTATTACTTCAGGTTTATGTATTGTTTTGTGGTTGAACTTTTGCTTTTTTCTTTTTTACTGTTTTTTTTTCTCTATTTGTAGGTTCAATGTTATTATTTTGAGCTCTGCCACTTTTACAAGTTTCTTCTCCATTATTTAATGCTTTTTTCTGGCTTTAGTTTACTATTTCATTATTTTTTTGCTACTGTTTACTGTCTTCTACCACCATTTTACAACCATTCCATTACTACTTTATCTCTTTAGTTTTAATAACTATTACTTGTTATATTTTGGAAAATTATACTATCGTTTGGGTTACTTTTGATTATTTGAACTTTTTTTAATTATTAAGTTAATAAAATCTGAACAAAAACCCTTTAAATTATAATTTTTTGCTAGATAATAGATAGTTAATTGATGTGTATATTACTAGAAGATCAAAACTTTACATATTAGAACTTGCATCTAAATAATTATTTCACTCTTCAACTGATTACTTTTTGCTAATCAAATCAACAATAAATTGACCACCATGTATATTCATTTATACTAATAAAAGTATTTATTTTTTATTCTAGATTTTTGCAATATATATCTTTGTATAGATCGTCTACATGTTGTCTAATCTTTGTATACAGATAGTATTTTCTTTCTTTTGTTAATGGTTTAATACTTATAATTTTTAATGTTGTATAGGGGTTAAAGTTATCATTATATAATAATTGAAAAGGTATTTCTGCCCCCCCAGATTCTGTTGACGCATAAACTTTTCCAATATCATTAAATGAATTATTAAACCTAAAATGATGATATTGTTTTATATTGGGAAAATTTCTAAAATGATCTTTGAATAATAAGGAAAAATCATTCTACACCCAACTTAACCTGTCATTATATAAAATTAGCATGTTTCCTTTAGATGAATTATTAATAACTTGCTCAATATCCGCTAATTTATTAACTCTTTGATTTCTATATATTTTTTTTATTTTACCAAAAAAAGAATTACAAATAAATTTTGTATAACCTGGAATCATAAAATTTACTGTGATTTCTTTGTACCACCCTAATATTATTAACCAACAATAAAAAAAAAGTGATATTATTTTTATTTTGACCGCTACAGTTATCACATGTTATATTTATTTTTTTTTTCCTTCACGTGCAAATTTTTGAAGAAAACAATAAACCATATTAAGTGTAGTATTTGTGCCTTTAGACGTCCTCTCTGGAAATTCATCTTCATCTATTACAAAATTTAATTGAGAGTTTTGACCATCTTCCGTTTTACATACACCAAACAAATGAACTGAAAATAAAATTTTAAAGTAAGTTGTTCTTACTTGTTGCGGTGAGTATAAAAGTGATATACATTGCGCCTAATCATAGCAAACATGTGCAATCGATAAATTTTTTTTACTTTCATTTATATTATTATTGTAATGTTGTCTTTCATGATCTGCTGCTTCATGATGTTGATCATATTCTATTTTAATTTGATCATATTCATCTTTATTAGACTTTGCTACTAATAATTTTGCTTTAAAGTTTCACAAACTTCACAAAGATCACTCGCAGGTGATTGAAACTTAAGATGAAGCATTAATTCTTGTCAAAATCTTCTAAAAGTAAAATAAGAAATGATTTTTTTATCTTTTTTATCTTTGCTATCAAAATGTTTTTTAAATTCATTATAAATCGAGATATAAGTACTTCCAACAGGTAAATAAATAAATGGCTCAGATTCATTTTTATGTTTCATTGGAGAGGATAATCTATTAATAATACCATATTGTTCTAAAAATTATTTAACGGAAAATGTGATACTATAATCAAGAAATACTTTGTCTTTCATTATAGGAGCACGACCAGTGTTTCTGTGAGTTCTTTCTATTATATCTTCATTTTGTAAATGTTCTTGTATTGCAAAAAGATAATAGTCATTTATTCCATAAAGTTTTAAAAACACAGGTTTGCAAAGAGGAAAAGAATGATTATAACAATATCTGTAATTATGTTTTTTATGAACTTCAATTTTATCATTTGTGATTTCAAGTGCTATTAATTGTGCCTTTAAAAATAATTCAAGTTCTGATTTTTCTAATGACCTTATTTGAAAATGTCTTTCAAAAAACCTTTTGAATCTGACTTTTTCATAACATGTTCTAAGATCTTTTTTATTAGGTACTTGATGATATACGCAGTTTGATTGTTCAAAAAATTGCATCAAATCATGAACTGTATCAAGAACTAATTCATTATCTTCATATTCTTCTAATTTCAACTCTATTAAATTATATACTGGCTTTAAAGAAATCAGGTCTGAGGCTAAATTTTCCATTACTAATCTTATATTGTCGAATCAAGAAATTTTTTTAAAAGAAATTACATGATATTCCACTGTTTTATATAGTCAGATTTAAAAAAAAAATTAAAAAATAAAAACAGAGAAAATAATACAAATTAAGCATATATACACATTGGCTTTCTTATTTATAATAATAATTTTTTTTTTTTTTAATCTTCAAAGGTGAAGCCATGCCTCTATCTTTATTAAAATCTAATTAAACTTCTTTACAAATAAAGATAAAGAAATTACATTATTTGAACTTTATATCTATAAGATACTAAGACTAGAGACTCAGACAGAGCCCTTGCTAACTCAAAGGTTTATTTATAATAATTATTATAATAGATCATTATAATTTAACATACAAATTACTATGAAAGAAGCTTAGAAGACAGGTACGTACTTATGCTTGGGGTTTAGAAATACAGATTTTTTACTAAACTTTTTGCATTAGATAAGCCTTTATTAATTTATCCCATTTCATTCTTGCAAGAGAAAAATGGAGTTTTTATACATATTCGTTACTTAAACAGAAACATTATTGTTAAACTATTATTATTATTTATAATAGTCCTGATAAGCCAAATTAGTATTCCTATTGTGTTGTTTTAGTTGAATTACATCAATGAACTATATAATAGATATTTTACAGGCTGCTATGAATATCATAGATTAGCACGGCGAAGCCATGATAATACATAATGTTACAGCACACCGTTGAATATCTAATATATTTCACAGTTCCTATATCCGTAACATTTATGATTAAAATTTTAATGTGATATAATGGCTGTGGAATAATTTTTGATTATATTAATCAAAGGATTAAAAACCTTAGATCTAATCTATAAAACAGCATTCAAGATATTGCCTTTTACTAGAGCTTCACTCTTTGTCAATTTTTATTAGAAATTTCATCATTTACAGGAAGTTACTTCTTCAAAATAGCTTCACTTTTACCCTCACCATGAATCTTTTATTAAAATTTAATTGATCGCAACAACTCAACTGCTAAAAATAATATTAAGAGTACTGCTTGAGAATATCCTAAATTGACGTATTGAACAGATAATGTAAAGAGAAAGATTATCTCTCTGAAAATCGACTATCACACGAGGTACATGATGAACATAATTTGCGTAATGATCGCAAATCACATAATAATCATGACACGTGATCATGTGAGCATGACGGAAATCGGAGCCAGGATCAATTCGATGAGGGTTATATTATACACATGAAAAATGTAGTCAGTAATGTATAGATAATAAAGATAGGTGCGCATTAATTATATAGTCATGGAAAGGATAAGAATAGTAATAAAAGGGATAAGAAAAAGGAAATTAGAAAGTGGTTACTTGCACTCTTGTAATAAATAAAGAAATTAAATAAAGAAATACTTACCCTATCACAAAGACCTGAGTGACTTCACGAAGCTGACATACCATAAATACGTCATGTTACACTTGGTAGCAGCGGAAGAAAATTCCACCAAACCGATTATTATTAAAAAGAAAAAAAAAAAAATTTTTTTTAGTAGAGAAAAAAAAAAAAAAAAAAAAAAAGTTATACTCCTCTAACAATAAACTTACGCCTTAGTATCAAGAAACCGGTGTCATTCCTGTGTAAGAAACAAAGAAGTCAGAAGAGAAAAAAAAAAAAAAAAAAAAGAAAGCCTTACTGATTACCGATTAAAAATCATGCCTAATCACGGAAGTCAACCTATAGAAAAAGCACCTGCTGACTTCATGACCCTTTTCTAGCAATTTTTGCAAAGTCAACACCAGTTAAACCAGTACTTTGCGACCACGATACAACAGCGACAAGAGCAACAAACTACAGATCACCTGATAAGTATTCCAGGAAATGCCAATGATATATCAAGAGGACTAACTGTCCAACTACCAGTATTTCGTGGTAAAGACAGTGAAAACGTCTTAACATGGCTTCTACAAGTTGACCTTTTGTTCAAAGCATGGAAGGTTGAGGATCAAGAAAGACTCCAATATGTTATTATCAGGTTAAATGATGCAGCACTACAATAGTACTTGAATCAAGTGCAAGTACACAAAGACGAAAGCCTATTTGAAAATTGGTCGTCATTCACGGAAGGAATTAAAGCCGCTTTTCAGCCCCCTCACCATCAACAACTCTTGAAGCGCCAGTTGAGAGATCTCAAACAAACTTCAACTGTCCAAAAATATGTCTCACGATTCAGAAATTTACTAGGTCAAATAGAAGAAATGCACGAAGCCGATAAAGTCATGTACTTTACCAATGGGTTAAAAGGTGCTATGAAGGCTGAAGTAAATTATAGAGCTCCTAAAACCCTAGACGATGCTGTCAAGCTTGCTGCAAGTTTTGATATAGCAATGTATGGACCCTCAAAACTCGATCGTAATAAAACCAATTGGAATGAATCAACCGAACAAAGAAGAGGCGAAAAACACATGAAACCTTTTGGAAATCATACTGACCAAGGTTCAACACCAATGGAGTTAGATCGAGCAGAAACAAGAAATACCTTGTCAAGACCTACACAAAGCTATAAAGAAAAGGCATTAGCAGGCAAGCAAAAACAAGCTTACAGAAAGAATGGGCAGTGTTTTTCTTGTGGAAAGAGAGGACATATGGCACATGATTGCTGCACTAAAGATAATACTAATACAAATGAAGTCAACGTTGCAAACGCTAACTCAAAAGCTATAGAAAAAATGATCACCAACAGTAAACCAAATAGAGAAAGCCTTCTGAAAGTGGTAGAGAAAGTGGAAGGCTGGGATGCAGTTATTTTAATTGACTCTGGTGCTTCTAAAGATTTTATAAACACAGAATTTGTAAAAGAAGCACAATTAAAAATAACAGTAGCACCCAACCCTACCTTGGTCAAACTAGCAGATGGATTTCGCTCCAGATCGCAGGGTTGTGTAACAAACGTGTCAATGAAGATTCAAACCTATGAGGATGTGAGGGAAGAATTTGAAGTTTTACCATTGCAAAAGTATGATATTATTTTAGAAAAGCCATGGCTTTATGATCTAAACCCTATAATTAATTGGAGAGAGAATCAAATCAAACTTAAAATAAATGATCGAATTCATAAAATTCAAGCCAGTATATCGACGAATAATAGTGAGTGTCAATCAATTCTGGTATCTAAGCAACAATTTTCAAAAGAAGTGAAAGTTGCTGCTGAATTATTTGTTATTTTGTCGGCAAACAACCTTAATGAAAATAACAGAGCAAATGCAATTCAACAAATATCTGAATTTTTAGGAGAACTGTTTAAGCAATACTACAACCTATTTTCAGAAGAATTACCTAGCGAATTACTGCCAGAAAGGACTGTCGACCATGAAATCCCGATAGAAGAA